GCTGTCACAGCATGTGAGTACTAAACTAAGTTCTCATTCACACACAAGTTTATGTTAAAGGTGACATATCATGAAAATCTGACTTTTCCAGGTTTTAAGTGCTATAATCAGGACCCCGGTGCATCTACCAACCAAGGAAACGTGAAAAAGATTAACCCAGTAACTAACCCAGCAAGCGTCTGAGAAAACGAGCGCGTCTGATTTCTCCTCCCCTTGTGACGTTGCAAAGGGATCTCATTATAATATTACCGCTCCTTAATCTGTAAGTTTAATACACCCACAGCGCCGTCATTGTGTTTTCGAAAGCGACAACGTAATGGCACAGCTCTATTCTGGAAAAGGGCAGTAGCTCATTTGCATTTAAAGAGACAGGCCCGAAAAACAGCGTGTTTCTGCTTCCACTCAAAATAGGCATTTTCAAAATGATATAATAAATTATCTGTGGAGTATTTTGAGCTGAAACTTCACAGACACATTCTGGGGACACCTGAGACTTATATTACATATTGTAAAAAGGGGCATAATATGTCTCCTTTAAGTTACTTACATTTTAGACACAATATTGCCTGTTTTTGCTGAATTTCAACCAAGAAAATAGTTCCAAATGGCACTGTTTTGTGTCGTTGAGCAACACACAGGACGGCGTTTCTGAATTAATCTGTTTTTTGAAGAGTGATTCAGTGACTCCCTCATTAAAACAGTTCGCTACTGTTCATACTTAAGTATAATAAACATCACAAACTTTAAAACTTTTACTCAAGTGATATTCTAAATGGTGACTTTAACTTCTTCCAAAGTCATTTTTTGGTAAGATATCTATACTTTTACTTAAGTGTGGCTTTCAAGTACTTCATACACCACTGACTAGAATAGGATTTCATGCTTAATTATTCCAAAAACATTTTTTCACATCATTGCAGCACCTCTTTCCAGTCTGTCTCAAACAGATGTTTTGATGAAACCCCTCCATCTGAAATATGGAATGTGCTTTGATTGGTCAGCTGCCCCACTGTGTTGTGATTGGCGAACTGCTTAGAGTGTTCCAGAAATGTCACGCCTTTTTTTTTTTGGGAATGGGTTATAGTCTAATTAGGGTCCATGTAAAGCTACTGTGTCAGCACTAGGTGTCAGGCTTCAGTAACGTTGATCGATGCGTGAAATTCAACCTTCAAGTTCATATCAAAGTCACATTGGAAAAATCAGATTTGTTATCTACACACTGGTTTAAATTGCACCAAAAGGTTTACATTAGTAGCATCTATCAGAGGAGACACCCTACCCCCATCAATCACTATTATATGACATCGATGATTATATGATATCAATTAGAGTGTGATCTTCTTTGCAGAGGCTGATTTAAATTCTTTACAATCTATTTTATGCATTGCAAGAGTTTTTT